TATGTCCAGGCCTGGCACAGGGGCTCACGCCTGTAATCCCAGCACTTCAGGAAGCTGAGGCAGGCGGATCATGAGGTCAGGAATTTGAGACCAGCCTTGCCAACATGGCGAAATCCTGTCTCTACTAAAAATACGAAAATTAGCCAGGTGTGGTGGCGGGTGCCTGTAATCCCAGCTACTTGTGTGGTTGAGGCAGGAGAATCACTTGAACCCGGGAGGCAGAGGTTGCAACAAGTTGAGATCATGTCATTGCACTCAAACCTGGGCGACAAGAACAAGACTCCAACTCAAAAAAAAGAGAAAAAAAGTTTTGTCCCTTCCCCTAAAAAAACAGTGTAGTGAGTAATCAATTCTGCCTAAAAAATAAAGGAAAGTTCTATAAAAGAGGTGACATTTGAGCTAAACCCTAAATTATTGGTAGGATTTTGATGCAGAAAGGAAAGCTGTATTCTAGCTTATCCTAAAATATATTCTACAAAAAGGCAATCAGTTGTAGGCATGCATAATCAAAAGCCAATTATACCTTCCAGAAAGGAGCTATTATTTTTGAAATACTCATCTGAAGAGAAGAAATATTCAGAATATTTTATGCTACACTCAGACTTACTTGTACCAGAAAACACTTTCTAAGCTTGTGAGTCACTTCATTACTTAAAGAATAAAATTCTGAAAGAAACAAGATTATATTGTGTGTCAGTGACCATGAAGATTAAATTCATTTACCTAGAACAGTTTCTGTTGACTCAAGTACGCTTTAAGTTTACTTCTCTAATTCTGTAATAAAAGTAGCAGAGCTTGTTACAGGGAAATGTTCATATTGAATCACAGTTTGAGTGCTTTTGTTCTTTTTATTGTCTTTTTGTTAGAGCATGTCTTGGTAATTTCTAACTCCAAGCTTATTCTATTGAAGTCTTAGATTTATAACTAAATCTATCACTATGCCAATAAACTTGATCTACATATTTTATTTATTTATCATTGATTTTTTAAAAGAAATGAAGTTTTTCTATCCAAAGTCAATTTGGAGTCAAAATAGATGATATACACTAAAATTTCATAAAGAGTTTTGCTATGAAGTCATTTGAAGAAACAAAAATCACAAGAAGTTTTGAATTAAAACAAGTTTCTTTTTGTTGCCAAATATTTTAAAAATAAGAATTCTGCTTCTTGGCACCTGTGTGCTTTTTAGTCATATACACCAAAATACTACCAGGTTGAGAGAAGCAATCTGAATGCTTTAAAAGCTTTAAAAAATAGATTTAGCAGGTAATTATGATTTTTTATGTCATAAAATTTTATTAAAATCTCCTCTGTCTCTTGTTTATTCTTCCATTTTACATGTTTAATCTCAACTGCCTTCACATATCAACCTCATTTACTCAAGCAGAGATAAGACCAGTGGGAAAGAGAAAAACGTACCTTATTATTTCAAGTCGACAAATAGTTATTGAGTGCCTATCTTGTACACAGAAGTATGCTAGGTACTCTGGAGAATATGAAAGTAGCATGATACCTGACCTTTGTCCTCTACCTTATATAGAGAGAGCAAATCAATGGTGCATTGCAAAACAATGCAATATGAGAATAAATGTTCATGGCACGGGAGGGGCACAGACAGCAACTTGCAGACTCAGATTAGGAAGGGCTCAGGTTGAGCTAGAGTGGAGGAAAATGATGGCCTCCAGAGAAGATCTCAGCTTTGGGGGACGAGTTTAAACGGTTAGATGGGTAGAGAGAAGAAACAAGTCCAGGCATTGACATGAGCACAGCTGCAGAGACAGGAAGGGGTAGATTGTATTCGAAGTTCTAGTTTGGCCAAACTGAGATAGACTCCATTAGGGAGAGTAGGATAAGAATGGAGTAGTTGGGAGCAAATTTTCAGGCAGTCTTGGAAGTATGCAGGCAATAGAAAAGCACTCAAATGTTGTGAGATGGGAGATGACCCAGCAAAACCAACTTTTGCACACATTCCTACTGCAACCCAACTCTGTACTTTCCTCTATAAAGTACAGAGGAATATTATAGAAGAATAGGATAGAGGGTATTTGACTTTCAGATGTGAGGTGATGGTGAGCTAAATTATTAAAAATGCTTAATTAGGAGGCCATTAGGCTGAGATGGCTCCAGTGCCTTGGGTTCCTACATAAGCGAACCAAATCCCAATTTAATGTAAACAATAAAACAGAATCTAAGCTTAACCAATTAGAAACCACCAAATAACTTGTAACTAGAAATTTGACCAATCAGAAACCAGCAACTGACCTCTACCTCTGGACTTTTCACATGGGCCAATCAAATATATTTTCTCTGTCTTGCTTCCAAGAATACATACTGTTTCCTCTCTCACACACTTCCCACACCTTGTGGAGTGCTGAACTACTTGAGTTCTGATGACTTCCAATTCACGAATTGCTGAATACTTAAACTCATTAAAATTTTAACGTGACTAAATTTATCTTTTAACAGAATTATGTTCGGTGGTAGTAGAAAAAAATAGAAAAGAACAAATAGAAAAAAACAAACAAACAAGAAAAGAGGGCCGGGCGCGGTGGCTCAAGCCTGTAATCCCAGCACTTTGGGAGGCCGAGGCGGGTGGATCATGAGGTCAAGAGATCGAGACCATCCTGGTCAACATGGTGAACCCCGTCTCTACTAAAAATACAAAAAATTAGCTGGGCATGGTGGCGCGTGCCTGTAATCCCAGCTACTCAGGAGGCTGAGGCAGGAGAATTGCCTGAGCCCAGGAGGCAGAGGTTGCGGTGAGCCGAGATCGCGCCATTGCACTCCAGCCTGGGCAAGAAGAGCAAAACTCCGTCTCAAAAAAAAAAAAAAAAAAAAAAAAAAAAAAAAAAAAAAAAAACAAGAAAAGAGGCCAAGCATGATGGCTCTTCCCTATAATTCCAATGCTTTGGAAGGATGAGGCAGGAGGATTTCTTGAAGCCAGGACATTGAGACCAGCCTGGGCAATATAGTGAAATCCCATCTCTACAAAAAATTAAAAAATTTAAAATTAGCAAAGCATGGTTTTACATGCTTGTAGTCCTAGCTACTCAGGAATCTGAGGTAAGAGGATCACTTGAGTCCAGGAGTTCAAGGCTAGAGTGAACTGTGATCTCACCACTATAACCCAGCCTGGGCAAGACTCTGTCTCTAAAAAAATTTTAAAAATAAAAGATATTTAAAAAACAACAACAACAAAGAAAGAATCCATTGGATTTGTGTATTGACTAATTTGAGACAGCTCTTAGATATATTCATAAATATAACTATAAACCTCCAATCTCAATATATCCAAAACTGAGCTTGGAATCTCACTTCATCTAAACCTGTTCTTCCTTCTGGTTCTTTATCTTAGTAAATGGTATCTTTATTCTTCCAGTTGTCCAAACCAGAAACTTAGATGGAGGATGATGCCTCGTCACTCTTCCCTTCCCACAGCCCCATCTCTAATATATTGCTAAGTCACAATATTTCTCTATTGTTTCCCAAGTCCATCCACTTCTTTCCAACTTTTTTCTATTTCCCTCATCTAGGCTACTGTCAGTTCTCGTCTGAATAATCACAGGACTCCTAAGACGTCTCCCTGCCATTCACTATTATAAAAAAAAGACAAAAAAATAACAAACACTGGTAAGGATGCTGAGAAAAGGGAACTCTTACACACTATTGATGGGAATGTAAGTTAATACAATCACCATGGGAAAAAAGTATAGGGATTTCTCAAAAAACTAAAAATATAACTACCATACAATCCAACAATTCCACTACTGGGTATCTACCCAAAGGAAAGGAAATCAGTATATCAAAGGGATATGTGCACACACATGTTTATCACAGCACCATTCACAATAGCAAAGCTATGGAATCAACTGTATGTCCATCAATGGATGAATGGATAAAGAAAATGTGGTACACATAACTATGGAATACTATTTGGCCATTAAAAAAAAGAATGGAATGACACCGTGTGATTTGCAGCAATGTGGATGGAACTAGAGGTCATTATGTTAAGTGATACAAGTCAGGGTAGAAAGACGAATACCACATGTTCTTACTTATATACAAGAGCTAAAAAACTGATCCCATGAACACGGAGAATAAAATGATAGATACCAGAGACTGGGAAGGGGGCAAGGATGAAGAAAAGTTGGTTATGGGTACAAACATAGGGTTAGATAGAAAAATAAGTTCTCATGTTTGATAGCAGCCTAGGATAACTTGACTTAGCAACAATATCATGTATATGTCAAAGTAACCAGAAGAGAGGACTCGAAATGACACCAACCCAAAAATGATGAACACTCAGGTGATAGATACCTCAAATACCCTGACTTTGATCATTTCATATTCTATGCACATAACTAACACTCATATGTACCCCCAAAATATGTATATTATTATATACCAATAAAAGGGGGGAAAAAATCTCCCTGCCATTCATTCTATCATTCCCCAATTCATTTTCAAGACAATAGCCAGAATTATATTTCTAACTAATGTCCATCTGATATCAGCAACATTGCAATTTAAGCTACTCATGTGTGTAAATAAAATCTAGCTTCTTTATTTTCTTTAATCTTCATGGGTCCTTATCCAACAGAATAGCGGAAGAGAGTATAAAGCACTTAAACCTGCCAATAGAGGGCACTTTCATTTCTTCTATTTTTTTTTAATACTGAAATATTCAGTCTCCACAAAGACTATTAAAAATTGCCAATGCCGGCTGGGCACGGTGGCTCAATCCTGTAATCCCAGCACTTTGGGAGGCCGAGGCGGGTGGATCACGAGGTCGAGAGATCGAGACCAGCCTGGTCAACATGGTGAAACCCCGTCTCTACTAAAAATACAAAAAAATTAGCTGGGCATGGTGGCGCATGCCTGTAATCCCAGCTACTCAGGAGGCTGAGGCAGGAGAATTGCTTGAACCCAGGAGGCAGAGGTTGCGGTGAGCCAAGATTGCGCCATTGCACTCCAGCCTGGGTAATAAGAGCGAAACTCCGTCTCAAAAAAAAAAAAAAAAAAAAAAAAATTGCCAATGCCAACTATATTGCAATTTGTCACGGCTGGGTATTGGGAAAAGTTTTCAATTAGCAATAATCACTGCTTGGATAAACCTCATTGGCTATGATACTGTCACTGTATGGAGCCAACTTCTTCTATTTTTAAGTCCTTTTTAAGTAGCTCAAACTTCCCTGGAATTTTGTTGTAATTCACAGGCTTCCTCTCTCTCATCCTTTCAACAGCACTATCAATCCTACCTGCTCTGGGAATCTTTATCCCACACATGGAAAAGATGAGATTCCCCCAGGTGATGATTTCTCAACAGTACTTCCCTCTTCAATCATCAATCCACTAAATCTACTTCATTTTTATGTAAAACTTGGCTTACTTGAAAATACCCAAGTCAAGACTGTTTTCTGTCACACAAGTTATATAACTGATGCCTGGGTACTTTGTGACCTGGCGAACCCAGTAAATCAGCCCTTTAGATTCCAAAATCCTACATGGGATAGCAGTGAGATGCCCTCCAAAGAATTTTGAACAAGAACATTAAGATTATCCTGTGAATACTAGATATTTTTTGGTTTTTCAGATTTTTGCTTTTTTTCTGAAAAGAAGTAATAAGCTTGTTGTAAAATAAACCCTAAATTTGAAAATCAACATGAATGGAAGCATAGTAGCTATTACTTTTGCCCATCTGCCAGTCTTTCTCTGCTTTTCCTTCTGTGAACAGGCACCACCAACTTCACAACAGGGTTTTATGGGACCCATCTTGGAGTCTCATCTCTTCCTGGACACAGCAATTGGTTCAGGGATGGACGCATGACCCAAAAAGAACTATTGGGAATCTTCCCAAAATGTCTCTGCTGGGCTGCCAAAAGAAGACGACTCTGATTTCTCAAGTCACTAAATCAAGGGTTGCCTGCCAGACATGTCACCCTCTCCTCCCTTCCTCCAGGAGAGAGAGAGCCAGCCTGCCATGGAGGAGAATGGAGCTGGCTTCCAAGAGAAGCAGAGGGGAGACAGACAAATAGAGAGCCCGGACATCCTGCAAGTTCTCAGTTCCAGTTGTCACTAAAGCCCGTGAGACATTTCGATCTGGTCCCATTTGTCAGTACATTCCCTTTTGCTGTTTAAGCTAAAGTGCGCTTCTAATACACAACCAAGTCTTAACAATTCAGGATGAAAGTGAGGATACACAAAATCAGAACCCTGGTAACACTCTGATGTTTGTTTCTTCGGATAAACAAGCAAACAAATGCTGCAAAAGAACTAGAGAACTTATTCCCATTCATCCCAAAATTTAAAGTAAAGAGATACTTTCACTTTCCTATAAAGTCTCTCATTCACTTGTCATTATCTGATACCCACACAATATCAAAGGCTTTCAATGTCTTTCTTACATTGTTCCTATTAATACATACTCAAAAAATCTTGTTCCAACCTTTCTTAGTACATTATCTTATCAGTACCTTTGCATATAAAGAAAAAGCTTTTAGAAATGATTAACAATTTCTAATGCAAGATACCAGTTTCTCCCATTCCCGAGGGAAGGATAAGATGAATGCCTCATAATGGGATTTAGAGAGAAAGAAAAACAGCTTTCTTCAGGCTGTTTCGATACATGGACCTGAGAAATCATGCTGCCTGATCTCAGCAGGGAAGAGATTGAGGAAGGCAGGAGATGGGCTGGGAAATTAGGGAGATGACAGAGGTGTGCTTGCGACGATCCCCAGCCTGGGTCTCCTTGCACAGTTTCCTCAGTTGCTTGGAATGCTGTAAATTTCTGGAACACCAGACACACCCAGGTTCCAATGCAAGTACAAAAACATATCCCCCGCCAAATACAAATTATTTTTGTATCATCTACCATTTGAGATTATGCCCTGTTCTTCCCCTTTCCCTCGGAGCAGATAAGCAAGAACCAACTGTGTAGTTATTAACTAAGAAAAAGAACATGGGATGAACGTGTTGAGGAGAAAATGCTACAGAGTCACAATGGACGACTGAATCGAAGACTGCTGGGTATCACATCCCCAGCCCAATCTGCGGCTTATGCAAGACAGTGAGTAACTCGCTGCTTACCTCAATTTTAATGCGAGGTGAGAACAACATGTCCTTCCTCCTTCCTAGCTTGCTGTGAAAACTAAAGAGATAACATCTTAAAATGCTTAAATACTTGGAAAAAACGATAGCATGGAAACATGATGTTGCCACCACACTCCAAGGTAGCGTATAGTTTCTTCATACACACTAAAAAAATTTTTCCACAATAGACCCCCCAAAATTTGAAAAGCCAAAGAATTCCTACCTGCTTTGTAAGTAAATCTCTTATCAAGAGCTTTAGAGAATGTAAAATTCAACCCTCTGCTAGGGGCACTTATTTGATTTCAATAAACAGTATGCATATTCAAGGGAGTGGAATATTTGGTCAAACACTTTAACTAAGGATGAAAACGAAGTCTTTCTTTATAAATTATATATAAATGTTCCCTGAGGGGCCGGGCGCAGTGGCTCACGCCTGTAATCCCAACACTTTGGGAGGCTGAGGCGGGTGGATCACGAGTTCAAGAGATCAAGACCATCCTGGTCAACAAGGTGAAACCCCGTCTCTACTAAAAATACAAAAAATTAGCTGGGCATGGTGGCACTTGCCTGTAATCCCAGCTACTCAGGAGGCTGAGGCAGGAGAATTGCTTGAACCCAGGCTGCAGAGGTTGCGGTGAGCCGAGATGGCGCCATTGCACTCCAGCCTGGGTAACAAGAGCGAAACTCCATCTCAAAAAAAAAAAAAAAAAGTTCCCTGAGGTTTAGAGGAAATTAAAAAGTATAATTTTAGGCTCTTTTTTAATTCTAACTTTACTTTGAAGTTTCAAAGTCACAGATATCTTTAAAAGATACATATTTTTAAAAACTTACCTAAAAGGCAAATATGACATGGTCCTTACTACATAAGACGAAAGACTTTACTGGATTATAGACTCATACTTAAGAAATTGAAATTTTAACTTCTAAACTACAAGTTCAGATCTATTAATACCATTTGCAAAGTTCCAGGAAGAATTTTATGCAAAGCGCTATAGATACCTAAATATGAATTAGGTCAGAATTCAATCTATTTCAAGTTAAGTGCCAACTCCAATCACTTGTTAGTCACTTCTGGAACCCTGCATTTAAAAAATTCTGAGGTCACATTTAGTTTCAGCAATAAAGAATACTGTGATCAATTAACAATGTCTGTCACAGGCACAGAAATGGGACATGGTGAGCATGGTGACATCAATGTATTGTATGTGCCATCTCTGGGGTATAAACCAATTGTCCCTTAATATAACAACACTTTCATTGTTAGCGATTACTGTCTAACTCAGATTTATTTGAATTAGTTACAGTTCTCCAAAGAAGTAGAACCAATATATAGAATGGAAATACATAGAGAGAACGAGGAAAAAAAATTATGTTAAGGAATTAGCTCACACAATTAGGAGGGCTGGCAAGTCTGAAAATTTAAACTCCAGCGAGAAAAGCTGATGTTGTAGCTCAAGTCCAAAGGCAGTTCAGAGGCAGAATCCCTTCTCCCCCAGGGGATCTCAGTCATTTCTCTTAAGGTCTTCAACTGATTGGATGAGGCCTACCCACCTCATGGAGGGTAATCTGCTTTACTCAAATTCCACTCATTTAAATGTTCATCTCATCTAAAACAAATCTCCATAGAAACATCCAGACTCCTGTTTGACTCAAACCTGGGTACCATGGCCTACCCGTGTTGACATAAAAATTTAAACATCACAGCATTAAGAGTTATTGCTTGGCCAGGCATGGTGGCTCACGCCTGTAATCCCAGCACTTTGGGAGGCCGAGGTAGGCAGATCGCCTGAGGTCAAGAGTTCGAAACCAGCCTGGTCAACATGACGAAACCCTGTCTGTACTAAAAATACAAAAATTAGCCAGGCATGGTGGTGGGCACCTGTATCCCAGCTACTTGGGAGGCTGAGGCAGGAGAATCACTTGAACCCAGGAGGTGGAGGGTGCAATGAGCCGAGATCACACCATTGCACTCTAGCGTGGGCTACAAGAGCAAAAACTCCCTTTCAAAAAAAAAAAAAAAAAGATTATTTTTTGTTGACAATGTATTAAGTGCAGACTCCATGCTCTTGACATTGCCCAAGCAGAATCATCTCACTATTTCTCACAATGGTCCTCTGATGAGTGTATTATTATCTACTCTTTGTAGATAAGCAAAGCATGCCAAGATGGTAAGCAACTTTTCCAAGGCCAAGAACTCATCAGTTGAGAGAAGTCTGGCTAAAAGAATGCTGGCTCAATGTTTCTCCGTCCTCACTATTTTAAATAGCATTTCTCTGCATATCTACATAGCTCCCCTTTTTTTTTTTTAAATTGAGACAGGGTATCACTCTGTCACCTAGGCTGGAGTGCAGTGGTGTGATCACACCTCACTGAAGCCTCGACCTCCTGAGTTCAGGCTATCCTCCCATCTCACTCCCCCATCCAACCACAAGCAGCTGGAACCACAGGCATCTAACACAACACCCAGCTAATTTTTTACTTTTTTTAATTTTTTGGTACAGAAGGAGTTCCCCTATGTTGTCCAAACTGGTCTTGAGCTCCTGGGCTCAAATGATCCTCCCACCTAGGCCACTCAAAGTGCTGGGATTACAGGTGTGAGCCACGGCACCCAACCCTCTGCATAACCTCTCCAAAACCTCCCTCTCTAGTTGCTTTACTATCTCTCTGCATACGAATACACATAGGTCTATTCTATTTCATACTAAATTTAAACAACATGAGGGTTTCTCTACTAAAGCCTTTCTGATTGATTGCACCCAATTTCTTAAGCTCTGCCTCTGCTTCTTCACCTCCTACTCTCCTTCTGCCTCTCTCCTGCCACGGGATTCAAAACTCAAGAGTGACGGCTGAAGGCAAAAGCCTGGATCCTCTCCTCGGTTGCATTTCTGTGTTCTCTCTTGGTACCACTTTGTGCTACGGACACTCCTTACCGCCTGAGATACTCTCTCTCCCTTCTGTGGCTGCCAGGAAAAGCCTGCACACTCCTTCTCTCTTTGTGACCATTTTCTGTTTCCTTCAATGGAGCCATTCTTTTTTTTTTTTTTTTGAGACGGAGTTTC